ACTGACCACCGACCAGAGCAGCAGTCAAGGTCAGAATACGGAAGGCCCTCAGGTCAAGTGGATGGCAGGGAATCATAGGAGGTTTTTGACCTTGAAGGCAAAGTAAGAAGGTACACAAGGTGGGGTCTTGCACACACGCAGTAAATTCTGGACAGGAAGCTAATGAAAACGGTTGTTTCGTTCCTACACCCATCATCACTTTAGACATGGTGTGATGAAATGAGGTCACATGAAGCAAAGTTAAAGGAAAGCAAAAGTTCTGTAAATCTAGGAATAAAACCACGTGTTTTCTTCTTCCTTCTCATTGTCACCATGGATAGTTTTTATGTTCCTACACCAAGCTATTAAACAACATAAAAGAGCATATCACAAAAAGATACGAATAATACTATTTATCTGCACAATCGGAAGGTACATAATAATCCCGGCTATCTGCACTGGTTCAGCCCCTTCGAAACAGGATGCTCTCCAGCCCCATGCTCTCCAGTGACCAAATCACGGGGGGGGGGGGGGGGGACACAACTGGCTGCTGCCGCAGTGACAGGTATCGGAACAGGGTCCAGCAGAAGTTAACGCCTGCCAGAGTGTGGTTGCTAGGGTGCGTGAATGTCTCACACAAGACGGACAGCAATTTTAACACTTCACCTAAAATGTCATATGGTATCCTTGAGTGTGATATTGTTATGTTACAGAATTGCATGCTTATGATTTTGTAATAAAAAGGGGTGGGCCTTGTATATCAAGTGCTTCCTAAGTTCAAGGCACTTATTTCTCTGAGATCAGCACCATTATTACCTTCACTGTGCAGATGAAGAAACTGAGGTCGGAGGTCAAAAGGGATGATGAGACAGGAAGTCAAATCCTGAGGCTGGGCAGAGGGGTCAGGCAGTTTAAAGCCATTCAATCATTATATTTTGTTTTACTAATGATGCGTTACTCAAGCTTGATCACTGAGAGACCCAGGGTTGGGGGTGGGGCAGGGCAGGTCCAATCGACAGTCAACATTTCCAAAATAAATAATTAGTGTTCGCAAATGGTAGTATTCAATTTTTTAATGCCACATCTTCTGATGCTCCTATTTCAACTCTAATTGAAAAATCTTAGCTTCTGAAGCCACCTTTAATTCTTCCCAAATGAAAGGAACACAACCTATAAGTCAACTAAGCAGAAAACCCTCAAACTTAAATAATACCCATAAACATTCTCTTTCCAACAGACTCCATGACACACACATGAGGAAAACTTTTCTGAAAGATATTCAAAGTGCTTTGAAAAGAATTCGCTAAAAAGACCTTTCTTCAGAACTCTCTGCAGTTTTTACATGTGCAATATATACATATACTGTATGTGTGTATAGATGGTTTAGATAGATGCATATGCATATACACGGTAAGCAGTTTTAGATAGATAGCTACAGATAGAGATCTATACCTGTCCTCACCCCCACCCCAGGTATAGGCAGAGTAAGCATCTCTAAAAGATACTCATATAAGTAGAGATAAAGTATTTAGGAAATTACTTAGAATATCAGTTTCACTTTCATTACAGCTTTGATTAAAATAGCTTAGTTATAGATGCTTCTATAGTGAACATTCCAGAAAACAGCTTCAAAGTCTAACATTTTTACCAAAACAAACCATATTATATATACAAACAAAACTAGAAGTTAAGTATTTTATACAATCATGTCTGAGCCTATAATAAAAGTGTATGACAGGCCTGACATCTCCATCTCTGGGCAGAGTGAATACATCTTCAACGAATGCTGTAATAAACCAGAGCCTGTAGTTTACCTTCCTTCAGCTTGGGTTGGCTTCTAACCCCAACCAGTAAGAGACAGAGGCTACAATTGAGTACAAATGCACATACATAGAGATATGCACCAGGGCTTCTCCACTGGGGCGACTCTGCTCCCCAGGGGCCTTTGGCCCCTGTCTGGAGACCAGTCGTAGCTGTCACAGCTGAGAGGAAGAGAGGCAGAAGTGAGCACCACTGGCATCTGCTGGGTGGAGGCAGAGATGCTCCGGCTGATTGAAATCATCCCGGGCCCAGGACAGCACTCCCAACACAGAATTCTCCAGCCCGAAAAGTCACAAAGGCTGCTCCTGAACAACTCTAACATAGACAAACAGAACTTTATTTTTTAATAGTAAATACTTCAAGTGTTAGGTGTGGTTCTCTCCATAGGATTATGAACAATGTCTATTCTGTTCATTTTATCTTTTTGTATGTTCTAAACCTTCAACAATACACATCTGTTCTTTATAATCAGGGAACAACTCCACTTGGGACTAAACTTTTAAGAGAAGGGCAGACTATTTGCTTCCCATCCTGCTGGGGCTTTTTCTCAAAGGACTGGTCTTATTCAGCCTGCTGGCCTGAGGGAAGGTCCAGGAAAATTTTCCTCTAAAAAATCACCTCTCCGCCTTGAAGCTGTTATTCATTAGCCCTGGTTAAAATGAATATTCCAAATATCTCAAAACCAGCACTCCAACTGCTTCACATAGGAAGGAGAAAACTGAAATGTAAAACTGCACAGCCTCTCCAGCGAAGTTACAGCTAGACATCCTGTTTTTCTAAACAGCCACAAGAGACAGCATAGAATTAAGCGCTGCCACCGATGTGGCTGTAATGAACATCTTAAAAATTACGGCCCACAAGCTGAATATTCCCTTAGAATTCAAACCACTTCTCCCCCAGGGGAAAAAATGCATTTGGGCTCACTACTGTCAATACTGAAAAACCGTCAACAATATTATATTTAAATGTGTACAACTGCAGTCAATGAAGATTTCTCCTAAAAGTTAACCCTTAAACACACGAGCTTTGCAGTACTGTGTCTCTAGCAGCCGAAAGCCCTATATGATGCCACAGATTCCAATAAAATGCTACTAATTGTTTTTCCAAATGTAATCTTTGTATCATATTGGGGGCAGGAGCCCAAACAGGAAATTGAAGTTCCTTAGAGGGTGTATTCTAACGCGAATTTAAGGCACTTGGAAAAAATCCAAGATGACAATTCTTTAAAGTCACATCTTCAACCCAAAGCAACTTAACGCTAATGGCAAGTACCACTCACTAACACTCCTGAAATCAATATCCTTGCTGTCCTCAAGTACACAGCGCCAGCTCACTAACAGAACAGGGCACGTGTCCCTCGCCCACCCAAGACCACAGCTGGCCTAGGGGCCCGCCCTTCCCCTCCACACAGCAGTCGCTGGCCAAGGCCCTGCTGAGGTGGCCCAGGTCCCACCTCCTGAACTTGGGGCAGGCGTGACTCACGCCCTGTCACATGGCGCAGGAGGAGGCTGAGAAGGCCACCGTTGCCAGGTGTTCGGGCTTGGCCCGACCGTTTATTTGCCTTGCAAAGTGGCCCGAGTGCCTGTGCCACTGGGGGGCCGGCGGCCTCGTGGCCTCCCGGTCTCTTCACGTTCTCACACCCATCACCGCTCTGTCACCTTATCGTCCTCACCTGAGTGGGCAAGAGGAGTTCCCCTTCTTCAGCCTGCCACAGCTCCACCACGTTGGGCAAGGGCTCAATCGCTGCACGAACACCAAAAAATACACCGCGTTTTTAATGCACGGAAAAGAAACGCTTCCTGTTTCCCTATCGTCCCCTATGCACCCGCCTCACCAAAACAAGTCCCCCTTTCCTTCTAGAAGCGAAGCCACCCAAAAAGCCAGCCTAGGATACGAACACAATGGACGGGGTGTGTGCCGGCAGCCCCTGTGACAGAGAGGCGAGAGCATGCAGGGTCGGGGAGTCTCGTACTGGAGGACTGATTGGAAGAGACCACTCCGTGGGCCACTCTGCGCTCGCATCCCGCAGCATCTGGGGCGGGCATCTGCAGGATGGGTCTTGGGCGGCCAGGCTCGGGGAACAAAGCTGCAGGAAGCCGGGCCGCGGCGGGGCCCTAGCGCGCGCCACACAAAGCGGGGGCTGCGCCGGGGGTGCCAGGGGGCCGCTCACAAAGGCTCTGGGGCGCGCGCGGCTAGCGGTCCGTGCTGCGGTCCCCGAGCCCCGCGACTTCCCAGGTTTCTGTTTGCATGGGGGCGGGGAGCGCGAGAGGGGACGCTGCGGTTAGAAATTGTTATCAGCCAAGAATTGCAATCGCTTTCCTTCCTCCTCCTGTCCCTTTCCCTTTCCTCCCCTTGCCCTGTAATAGATTTCAGCAGTTCCCTAAAAGAAAGGGGAGGGGGGGGCAGGGTGAAGAGGGAAAGCCAGCAGAGCGGCGCGAGGCTGACCTTGTCCCTGCGCCCCTCCCGGGCGACAGCAGGGCAGGAGGACCTGGAAGACGCCTAGCAGGAGGTTCACGGCCGCGGCGGTGCGGCTGTAGCAGCCCGGCTGCGGGCGTCGGAGCCCCGCCATGCTGCTGCTCGCGTTCCTCTCGGTGCTCGCCGCGTTCCCCGCTTGCTCGCTGGCGCCCGGGCTGCCTCGCCCCGGGCCCGCCCCCGCCGCCCGCCGGGGCCCGCCCCGCTGCCCCCGCCCCGCCCCCGCCGCGGCAGCTGCTGCAGCAGCTCCAGCCCCGGGCGCGCCGCTCGCCCTGCGCGCGTGTGTGCCACAGATAGGGGGGCGGGGGTGGGGGGGGGGGGACGGAACGCCGCGGGGTGCGGGGAACGTGGACAATGAGAACGCCTCGGCTGCCGGCGCCCCACCCCTGCACGGAGCACAGGGCTGCGGTCTGCCCAAATCTACCGGGTGCAAGCAATTTATGCGGCTGTGACTTAGAGCTGTCGAGAGGAACAACCAAGCCACTGTCGCCAAGTGTGATTTCAACAACTTTCAGAGGGGGATGGCGGTCCGCTTTGTTTGGGCACAGGGGCCACAGTCGAGTTGGTACCCATCCGCAGGGGAGTGGCGGTGGGTGGTGGGAGTGAAGAGTCGCCCCGCGAGAGGCCTGAGACAGGATATTAGTGGAAATAATGCAGTGGTTGTCAGGAAACGCGAGTGCAGCCACATGGCTACTGCCAGTTCTGCAGCGAGGATATCCGGTGGCTGCAAAGTCTGTAATTTAGAATAAAAAGAGCTCTCCCAAGACCGGAGAGGCTGACCTCAGCGCCGCGTGGCGGTGGTGTCCCCGGCGCCCTCGGTGGAGACGATCCAGGTTGTGACAGGTGGGGAATCCTCTTCCTAGGGGATTTCTAGCTTCAAAGATCTTGCCAATTCTCCCCTTCGGAGTCCTGTTGCAAAATTCAGCCAGCCTCTTCTGTAATATGGTGGGGGTCGAGGACGTGGTAAGTTTATTGTTTCTAACATTAACAGGGTAATAGAAGCAATATTTGGATATCTATTTCCTAGCCCCATTTTTGATGCTTAGAACCGAAAACTACGTCTCAGATCTGAGATCTCTTTAAAGTTAATACCACCATGCAAGGGTTTATTCAGGAATCGATTTGCATCACCTTTCCAGGGGGAAAGTGCTGGCAATCTTCACTTTTGTTTTGTTTTTCATTAATTTGCTGTTTCCAGAGCAGCTTGTATGAAATTCAGAGACTATGAGCGGTGTAAAGAGGGGAAGTGACTGGGGCACACCTGTCTGCTCACATTGATCCTCTACTTAATTGCCTCTGGTGCCTTACAGTCTAGACAATGGAAAAGCCGTGGTCGAATAACAGGACAGATGCCGGAGGACTAAATCAATTACGAACCCTCTCTCTCCTAAGGACATAACACAGTACTACATGCTCGGTCTCATGCTGCGTCTGAACAAAACTCTAAATAAGGTTAAATTGCCTAATTACTTGGCCAGAACTTAATGTTTAAGAAGATTAGCAGAGATGTAAGTCCTTGGTGTGAAAAAAAAAGTCACTGTATTATCCAACCTGCACGCTTTGAGTATTCTCTGTTTCTTGCCTTTTTCCAAGATTCCCCGCCAGCCTGTTTATTTTCTTAGCAAGGATCTCCAGGCCCTTTCTTCTCTTCCTGTCACTTCTCTAGGTTTGTATTTGCCCTTGGGCTCTGAAGGTTCTCCATGGTGTTAGGGGGGCCCCCCGTATGACAAGAATACTTGCACAGCCCAATAAGGCAGTAACTGCACCTTCAAAGTTTGTTTTTAAATGAAAGTTCTCTCATTGGCCTCCTTATTTACATTATGTATTTTGAAGTCCTCTTATGACTATACTATTTAGAGAGGAGAGCAAGCAAAAAAAAAAAGTGATAGCCTAATAGGTATAAAAAGTCATGGCACAAAACTTTTTTTTACTAAGTTTTAAACAACTTTAATTTTTTAGTACAAGTCTTTCCCACACCAACCAGTATCACAGAATCAATGGAAATGCCTTAAATACAGAGAAAAATAGCTGTGGATCACGTATCAATACAGCTCTATTTTGTTCTACCGAAGGCTTTAAGAAAGCCAGCTTGATTTTTCAAGTTGTGGTCTCGAGGACTTTACAAAGTGGGTAATGCTATTTGACTGATGTTCAAAAAGCCAGAAACATGTGTCTGCAGTGCCAAGGGGCTGGAGAGGGATACAGGATTACACAGCTGTCTTCTTAGATAAATCTGACCTCCTGAGCCTTCTCTGAAGGTATTATTCATGCTGACTCATGAACAACAGGAAAGTTACGGCCCATTAAGCAGCATCCCTGTTTTAAAGTAAACTTGTTCTCCGGAGAAGACTCCTATGTCATTTGTTCTATATTTCCATTGTTCCCCTGTAGAGAGTCGATATTTTGTTGTCTTGAGATACTAGAGCTGGAAAATTTGGGCTACTGAATAATGGCCCCAATGCCTCACTTTACAGCAGAAAGGAAAGCCCAGAAAAGAGGAGAAACACCAAGTTACAGTGGCAGAGTTATGGAAAAGTATATGTGATATAATGGTAACTGAAAAAAATTAATGTAAATATGAATGCCCTTTCTAGTTAAATTATATACATAGGAGTAAAGCAAGGAAGAGGTACTAGAGTATATCAATTTTAAAGTAGGTCCATGTAAGTATAAATGTTTTAAAGAAACACACCTAAAATTGACCGTCTACACTATTTTGAAATATAAAAGATGTTGACCATGCTTGTGACTTACTTTACCCTTGTTCTTTTTTCTTTTAAAGAGTTTATTTATTTTATTTTTAGAGAGAGGGGGAGGAAGGAAGAAAAAGAGAGAGAGAAACATCAATGTGTGGTTGCCTCTCACCTACTGGGGGGGACCTGGCCCGAAATCCAGGCATGTGCCCAGACTGGGAATTGAACCAGCCACCCTTTGGTTCACAGGCCAGCACTCAATCCATTGAGCCACACCAGCAAGATCTGTTCTTTTTTTCTTAATGAGTACAGATGAAAACCAAGCAAGTTTATAAATGTGACTTACCTCTTAACACATTCTGCATAAAATTGACAGTGAAGTGTCAAGCCCACACCACCTATCTCTAACTCAGAGCAGATTCAACACACCAGGTCACAAGTGGTTGATTAAATGAGATAATATGTGGTAAACATCTGATGCAGGTGCTCAGTAAATGCTAGTAATGAAATTATCACATATTTACATTGTGGGGCCATGTCAGACTTTGCATTAATATGGTAAATTTTATGCTGATAATTATTACTTGAATTTCCATGTTGTCATTCATTATCATGTCATTTATCACTCAGACAGGCTGGAAATGGAAATGATTAATGAACAAGTACATGTCACAGCTGTTTGCTGGCTTATCTATCCCTCCCTTTTGAGCCTCACCCCAATTGTGACAACAAAACCTTGTTTTTCGTCAAACCACCCCACCATTGTGCTGGGATCCAAGTCTTCTCCTTGCCCAGAGGGGTGGTTTTTGAGCCCAATAGAAACCTAATGGTTAAGGCCAGGTACTCTTGAGATGCAAACTGCCCCCTTGACTCAGGGCACCCTTATTTCTAGAACTTTATTCCATTTCATCTCATCTCGGGAAGCTCCGATTAGGTGCATTCGATAAGGACTCTCTTCTTTCTCAAACTAGTCCATTGTGTGAAACAATTGTCCTTTTCTGCCCTGGCTGGTGCAGCTCAGTGTATTGAGTGCCACAGGGCACATGCCCGTCAGGGCGCATGCCTGGGTTGTGGGCCAGGTCCCCAGGAGGGGGCGCATGAGAGGCAACCACACAGTGATGTTTCTCTCCCTCTCTTCTCCTTCCTGTCCTGTCTGTCTAAAAATAAATAAATAAATAAATAAGTAAATAAATAAATAAATAAATAACTCTTTTTAAGAAATAATTGTCCTTGTCACTATGGAAACATCAAGCAATTTGGGGAGCATCAGTATTCACAGTTAAAAACAGTCAACTTCGTTTTTTTTTTAAACTCAAATAACTGTACATTGCAAAGGGTTAATGTTACCATGTATCAATTAAAGTTAAGTTGTTCAACAGTCTTTGAGAACTAACTTTTTAAAAAGTTAAAGACAAGAATTGTTTAAAGGGAGGCTCGAAGGTGACATACACAGGATGCCTTGAGTCCTGCTAACTGTCCAAACATGAGTGGATGAATGACACACGAATAAAACAATGAAGAGTCACCTCGTTTTCCCTTGCAACTTGGCATGGCTATTTGGCCTAGTTCTGGTCAAAGAGATATAAGCAGCCCTTAACTAACATGACTTCAAAGAAAGCTCTTGTTTTCGTAATGAAAAAGAACAGATTCGGCTGGGACGGGTCTTCTCTGTGTCCTCCTTCCTGCTGGGATACAGGCGGATGCCCAGAGACCTGCGGCCACCAGGCACGTCTGAGGGAAAGGGCCCTGCCTGGAGGGTGGTGGATTGAAATGGTAGAATGAGTCTGGATTCCTGATAGAATTAGGGAACCACTAGATTATCTGACTTGAGATGTCTTGTTTTGTCAGCAAAAGCAAGCCCTCTTTACCACAGTCAGGTTTTCTGTTCCATATAGCCAAAAACAATCCCAAGGGAAAGTAAGAAAAAAGTCAACCAAAAGAACAATGAAATTAAACAATCATGCTTAACAATAGCCTGCCTCAAAGACATTAACAGGATGCCATATATCTGGGGAAAAGTAGCAAACTAGTACTTCATTTATTTACAAGTGCAAATCACAACTATTATGCACAATGTTATATAAAATTAGAAAAAAATAGGTAAAAGCAACAAAAGTAAATGCTAGAGAGACAGCTGCAGAGAAACAGTGCTTGTCAGTTAGCAAATTAGTTAATTCTTGAAAGGATGACACTATCACCAGGACCATCACCTTCAGGCTGTGTGGTGGCGCTCCTGGCATAGGTGACGGACAGCTCTGGGTACCATCTATGGGCTTTCCCCCATCTTCTCAATTTGCTTTGCAGCCTCTTCCTCCTACGCCCAACCTCGAAAAGTAAGAGCACCGCAGGGCTTGGTCCTGGCCGCTCTACACTTTCTCGCTGAATGACCTCATCCAGACCTGTGGCTTCCAACAGTAATAATATCTATAAGCTGATGAGTTCCAAGTGAAAACTGTAGCCTTGACCTGGAGTCCCACACTCCTAGATCCAATGCCTACTTGCCATCTCCACTTGAATATCCAATAAGAATCCCAAACCCAGCTATCCAAAACTCTTGACTCCACTTATCCAAACCTGCACATGCCTAACTTCCAGTCCATGGCAGTACCATCTACCCACCTGCTCAAGCCAAAAACCAGAGAGTCGCATTTAATCCCTCTTCTCTTTGCACCATTTAAATCTATCGAGAAGTTCTGTGCTGCTCGCCTCCAGACCATTCCCCGGACTGGTCCCTTCTCCATCACAGCCCGGTGGAAGCGCCCCATCCCTGACGTAGCCTCCTGCAACTATCTTTTCCTGGTCTCCCTGCTTCCACTCTCACCCCTCACATCCTGCTGGAATGATGGCCAGAATGACCTTTTAAAAATAGAATTCAGATTATATATAAAATTCTTTAGTGGATTTCCATAAAATTAGGACACACTCCAATCTCTCCAAACACACCTTCTAGCAGTCCTCCCCTTTGATAACTGTTCTTCAGTCCAATGTCCTTCACATTCCCCAAGCCCACCAGGCATACCCCCCATCTCGGGGCCTTTGTCCTTGCTGTTTTCTCTACCTGGAAAGCTTTGTCCTGAGTGTCACCTCCAGCTCCTGCTTTTCATTTACACAGAACTGCCACCCGTGGTTGTGCATGGAGCTCCCAAGGCATAGAGACAGCAGTCCAGCTGCCTCACTAAGCTGCCCCGGCTTGCGGATGCCTGAAGGAGGAAGGGCCTCCTATTGATCTCGCACTGACCAGTGGCCAAACCACATGCCTGGGCGCTGTGTCCCCACAGAGGGGGCACCTTCTGCTGTTTCTGTTGTTGTAAGGAGAAGGAGGAACCAACAGTTACTGGGCGCCTGCTTTCCATGCACCGCTCCTGTAAAAACACAGAAGGATTAGTCTTGTCATCCTTACTTCACAGGTTAGAAACTGAGATTGAGAGGGATCCGTTGTTAATCCTGAGTTAAAGCCGGACAGCAATTCCACTGCTCTGTACCATCTCTGAAGAAGAAGAAGCAAGAATTCACTTGGAAACTTCCATTTTTTAAATGTTTTCATTCTACTTATTTTAGGATGCTCACAGGAAGGTTAGGAAAAAGGCTATGAAAACTCCAGCTATAGTCATGAAAAATGAGTTACTATTATTATATGGAGCTGCAAAATAGACCTTACCCATACACGCTCCAGGTGACAAATTAAGGTCAATGTGACATCTAGTAAAGTCTCATTTTTTCTTTTGAGTTTCCACACTTTCGGACCTGCAGGCTTTGCCCCTGTACTGACTATTGAACAGCCCAGCTTATAGTCTACTTGGGAAAGCTATCTGTGCAAACCTCTTAGGTAGTGACTGCATTAACTTACTGGTTTGTACTTAGTAAAATTTCCTACTTGGGAATGCAAAATGCAGACTAAGGAGTAGAATTTATTTTTCTCTTCCTCGCTGGCTTGCTTTCTTACTTGTTTTTGGAAAAGGTACAGAAGTAGACTTCAGAAGGTTGGCAAGGATTGCAATTCTGTAAATTAAGTCAATTTCTTGGTAAATGATCTTGGAAAAACTGTTTTTTTAAGGTCCCACTCAAGCTATAAAGCAAGGCCTGGCCTTGGTCTGGGAGGCAGAAATCATAAGTACTTTTTCAGCTCCATGAAATAGTCTGAGGTGATTCCACTGTAATTCAGGTTCCTCTTTGACAAACAGTGACAGATAACCCTCTCACCAGTGCTTATGACATGCTAAGCCCTGTCCTAAGTGCTCTGCATATAGCAGACGTTTAATCCTTCAATAAACTTATGGGTGCTATTTGTATCCCTATTTCACAGATGGAAAAGTTGAGGCACAGATAGCTAAGCTGTAAGTTCTCAAGGTCAAAGGCCAGTAAGGCTCAGAGCTGGAATTCAAACCTAGGCTTTGACCACTAGGGCAATGCCGCCTCTACCCTCAGATGCCTGGAAGAGTGATGCTGGCCACTGCTGTGCCGGCGACCATTAGAAATGCATGCACAGCACACCGAAACTGGAAACACTTGGGTAAAAGCCATTGTGGCACCAAGACAGCTGGTTGTTTTTAAGAGGGTGTCACTACTGCATAACCAGTGCCCGGTCCCGGAATGTGTCATGGTTCCAGAAACAACGGCATGCCCCGTGGTAGAGATGGGTTTGTCTAAGTGAGGTAACCGTATTCTATGATATGAATTAAGTCACCAAACTAATACTGTATGTCAATTTCCATAATTAGGATCCTGATACTGGTATTTTGATGACACGTATCTAACTTACCCATCTAAACACGGTAAATGCTGTTTTTGGAAAATATGTTTCATGAGCTTGAACAAAGCACTTCGCCTCCCTGGGCCTTTGTTCTTGCCTATAAAACGAAACCATAAAATGATATGACCACTAAGGTCCTTGCCGTGTCTAACGTTAAATGATTTTTCTGTCCAGACCTGATAGCTTGAAAGCAGGAAGCCTGAACTTTTTTTGTTCATTTCTTACTGCTTCAGAATCCACCGAGTAAAGCAACTTTGCAGCTTCCTGAACCGGCGTGCTTTCAGATTACAGCTGTGTTAAGTTTGGCACTTGAAGTTCAAATAAAAAACTGCCCGGTCAGCAGCAGGGAGCCAGATGTTATGGAGAAGAAGTGATAACGGGGAATGTGTTCTTTCCTCAGGTGAGACCTGGGCTGCCAGCCTGGGGCCCCCTGCCCGAGTGCAAGGTTGGTAGAATCTCGTGTCCGATCAGTAATCTGCAAGGCACTCAGCTTCTCTGTGCCTAAGTCTCTCACCTGTAAATGGAGGTAATAGTAGTCTCCCTCATGAGTTGTGGCAGATTATAAATGCTGCCTGGCACATAGTAAATGCTTCATAATGGTGTTTGTTATGGTTGTTGTTTCCTGTATTAAGAAAAGCAAAATGAGGAGCTGAAGAAGGTAACTGAGTCTGTAGGGCACTGTGGGGACACGGCACAGGGGATGGGACGCGGCACAGGGGACGGCCCACGCAGTGCTTCCACTGTCGAGGCATGCCAGGCCAAAGTGAGACTAACGTCCCCACCTTGTGAAAATGCCCCCATTTCCGCTCTTCCATTTGGACACATTCAAACTTCAGGCTCCTGGGGCCATGTAGGGCTTCGGTACTTTTCCTCCAATTGCAAAATAAAGCAGACCACCAATTGAGAAAGGCACATCTCTGGGAAGATCTGATCTCTTTCTTCCCCTATCATCTCCCCGCCATTTCTAGGAGGAGCCATAAAGGAGCAAACACTTTATAGATGGAGGCTAAGTAACTTTCCAAGGCCACAGAACTCAGTGGTGGAGTCAGAATTCAGCCCTGGGCAGTCTGGCTCCACAGGGTGTGTTTGTGGGTGGGTTACCAGGATGTGTTTTGCTGCAACACAGACTGCTGTGTGTGTGTGTGTGTGTGTGTGTGTGAGAGAGAGAGAGAGAGAGTACAAACCATGATATCTGACTCTGTCATGCTAAAAAACATCGGCCTGCTATACACCTCTCTCAGGAAGGAAGCAGCAGGCACGTGATCAAGGGGGGCCTCCACCAGCAGTCCATTAGTTACATGCAACTTTCAAGGGTCTTGGACCCTTGGCCACAGCAGCCACACAGGGCAGCCAGTCCTATTGCTCAGGAAGAGAAACCACGTGGGAGGCAAAGAGAAGGCATGGAACACAACCTGAGGCGAGGCAGCAGCCAACAACAGCAGGGAGATAACAGCAGGAGCATCCCAAACTGGAGCAGGGCTGTGAGGCCCAAGGATCCATGCTGTTGGCAGGGGGGATGGTGCAAAGGGGCAGAATCACAGACAGTGACAGCGGGTGTGTGACCCTCTGCAGAGGGCACTGCTACTGCAGCCAGGGAGCTGTAAGGAAAGCCTCCAACATCCAACAGAGCTCTTCTGAGATGTCTGGATTCCCAGCAAGTAGCGGGAGGTGCAAGATGCAGGAGAAAGAGCACTGTGTGATACTCAGGAGTCCCAGGTGCCTCCTGGCCGTCTGTGTGGCCTAGGCCACCTCCCTGGGGCCCCATTTCCGCTGTGAGCACATTAAACTGGAAGTTGTGGGTAAATGACTTGGAGAGTGGAAGTTTGGTAAATTGGTTAGAGAGTCCGGTAACCACCTGTATGTGAGGAAAGAAGCAACTAGACAAGAGCAATGGCAGCAACTTTGCTGGAAGCAATGAAGACACATTCCCCCAACCACCACGGGTAGGCAAATTCTTCTGCATCAGCCCCATGGATATGAAGAAACTACCCATCTCACTCCCCCTGGAAATTACTGTGGCTGTGCGTTAAAGAGTGTCTCAGTCCTGAAATTTCATGGTGGTAGATCAGCCCACTTAGAAGTGCAAATCAAGATAATCCAAGGGTGGAGGAGAGTGTTGCCCTTGGGTAGACCACGGAGTTCATGAAAGAGACAGGTGTGTGAGCGCCAGGATGAACACGGAACACGTGTGTTGAACTGAGACCCAAAACACTTGGGAAGCCATAGTCATTAACAATGTTTCTATCAAATAGAAAACTCTCTAAAATAGTACTTCATGCATTTTTCTATCAAATAGAAAAACGTTCACGTAAAATGTTCAATCCCAAGGGGAAAACTCGCACACGGTTTAACTTTAATGGGGTGCTCACTGGACAACCGCAGAGCGGGCCACGGGAGAGAAGGGGAGCGGGGAGCGGAGGTGGCTGTCTACACGGGAGGAGGCATCGATGGCTGGACTTCTGGCTGTGCTTTTCAAGTGCGCAGATAACTAAAGACACCTCTGAAGCAGGAAGCGGGTGCGCAGGCCAGGGGCTCCAACCGAGCAGGGCTCTGGGCAGGAAATGGCTAAGACAGTCTTTCTTGTTGCCAGAGGAAGTTGAAATAAGACAAGACTTCGGGAGAATGTTGCTCAATTGTTCAGACCAAAAGCTTCAGCTCACCTCTGAAGAAGCCCAGATGGTATCTTCAAACAAAAAGGTGAGAGGTTGGGAGGATTAGATGAAATAATGTGTGCAGAAGCACTCTGCCAGTTGAGAGGTGCTTTATAAACACTTGCCCTGGAGACTAGAGCTTCGCTCTAGAAAGCAAAGTTAGCCAGTGTGTTCTTTAACTATGACCCTAAACCAAGAAATGGTTTTATAAGTTCTTATCATTCTAATTCAGAACAAATGATGGTAAAATCATAATGTCTTTCCTATTTGAAGCTATGGTTTTACCTGGACCACCTAACCATGTCAGCTCTTTTCAGTAGACATTTGGTGATCTACAAACCAGCCATAATCAAATGATCATCATGTTGTGAACCAGTGAAACAGTCCAAAAACACCAAAACAACCACAACAAATCAATTGGCTCAGTGATTTTAGTGGTCTGAATATTTTAAATCACGTGACCATTCATTCATTCATTCATTCATTCATTCTACATGCAAGCACTGTATCCTTCTATGAAGGATGAGAGGGGAAAGGTACAGAGCACCACAGACTTTAAGACGAGAGAAACAGAAAAGTAGGGCTGCATTACATAAATCGTTCTTCTGCTGAGCTCAGCGAGCAAATAATTTACATCTTTTCAAAGAGCAGCATTTGATCTTTCTTGCCTAAGCTTAGTACTTGGCTTCATGAAGCCTACAGAATGACGCTGGCTACATGCTTGCACTCACACGCACTTACATGTTTCCTCAATGCGCAGCTCACCAGGGCCAAGAGTCGGCTTCTCCCTGGTGCCTCAGGGATATCAGGTTTCAACTCCCATTGTGGGAGTCTTGTACACCCCACCTCGTGCCTTATTAAAATGATCACTTTCCATTTGATTTTCTTCTCCCAGCCGAAGAGCCTAGTATCGTTTTCTTTCTCCACTCTTGTTAAACATCACCTGTACCAGCAGCCCCAGATGCCGACAGATAGCAGCACTTCTGGCCTAGAAAGGTCATTGTCTTGACTAGATACCAGTTGATCTGTGTGATAACAGTTCATTTTTGATGGCCTTCATGTACTTCATTTAGCATTTCTCCCTGGGGCTGGGTTTTGGGTTGCCTTTATACACACACACACACACACACACACACACACACACACACAGCGCCTGGTTGTTTTTAGGCACTTCTCCAGCTGTGAGTTTAGCAAGGCTTCCTGCTAATGGGGAGACAGACAGAATTACGGCTCCAAACATTCCCCTGCCGCGGATCCAGAACATGTGTTATCATATCACACGCTGTAAATTGACTCCAGCTCCCTGCCAAGAGGGCACAGGCTGCATTCCAAATAGCCAAGGCCCGGGACCTCGGTTGTAAAAAAGAAATATGCCATGATTCCCCCTCTAGTTTTCTGCATGCATGAATACATTTGCTAAATATTTTTGATTCTTAGAAAGTGTTTTGTTCTGAAGACATAGAACCATCTACAAAATCTTAATACCTTGGTGACAATAGACTTATCTTGAAGATCCCCAGTCCCCTCCATTGTGAATGTCACTTCCAATCTCTTGTTGAAGGCCGGTTAACAGGAAATAGAGTAAGATGGAAGGGAACTCACTTTTAAGATAATAAAGTGTGTCTCATTCAACTGATGAGAGACACAAACAGTCTGACTATGATCGTCTCATGGGGGTAGAAGTCTAGGATTTCAAATGCTATCAAAACAGTTGCAAGGTCTCTGCAGTTACTCCAGAAATAGACCCCCAGCACAGAAGGCGATACAAGCAATGGACATGCATTTTCAGTTCTGTGCCATCGCGTGCTGAGGACCCAAGTCACTATCGATTTTTTTTTCATTTGAAACAAGTGTATAGAGTAGTGAACTGGTGTTTATTTTTGTGACTATTAAGGACTGGGAGTAAGAGTGGGAAGAAAAGAGTGTCACTAGCAACTGGCCACTGGGAACACCGTGGAGAAAAACAGGGGGGTTGGTTGAATCTCCTTGGAAGTCCCCAGCCCTAAAGTGCCTAAAGAGCCCCATCTCGGTTACCATGGTGATACCATTTCATTCCAATAATTACACCTGACAAGGTCTCTATTGTCCCCTTGCTCTTGAACATTAGCCCAGCCCACACTTCTCTGATCCAACACTTCCTCATTAGACCCGAAGAAACAGCCCCATATGCGCACGCAGGAACAGGGGGTTACTGCTCTGTGACAAGTGGGTGAACGCCAGAAGGTAAATTGCCAGAGCAAGTACTCAAGTTTTATAGAAGAGGGTTCTGTATATTTTCTAATTAAATCTCATTATATATGGAAGAGTGCTAGCAAAACGAAGTGGTGGTGTGGCCTGGTTTTCCCCAGATGCATTAGCCAGGGCTAACTAATAAATAAAATGGCATTATGACTCCAGTTATTTTCAAGTCGGTCTGGGATAATGAAGGCCTTATTCCAGGAGCCTTCCAGAGGGCTGGCTTCCAGGACCAGCTCACGGTCCATCAGCGACGCAACTGACACCCTCTGGGGCTCCGGGACTGCCACCGCAAAGGGAGGAGCCCGGGAGACCTCCCCGAGGCCTCCAGGCCTGTGACTCATTTCCTCGTTGGACCTTTCTTGTCTGCGCTGGAAGATTTTACTATACATTTGTAAGTTGATTTGCTTGATCTAGCTAATTTAAAACCTTTGATGAAAAAAAATAATGTTTGAAGGAGGAAAGTATGTTATCAAAATAAAGGAACTTTGACCTTTATATAATTTTAAAAAGGTATAATTGCATCTGTTTGGGAGAGGCAAGATGTAGGATTATAACAGGTAAGAAGACTTCAAGTTTAGGTATAATAGGTGTTTTCATTTCCTGAAAAGCCAAACTAGGGACAATGGCTTTAAAACTGGATTTAAATTTTATAACAATAATGGTGGATTCTTCTTAAATATCCAGACCTAAGTCTATGTATTCGAAACCGCTCTTGAGCAATGCTCTCCTGTGTTCGTTTCTACTTGTTCTGTGACTGCAGATATCCAGGTCAGCACTTTGCTGGAAAAGCCACTGACCCAAGCACTCAGATTCATTGACCTAAGTCCCAGGCCGGAAATTGGAACTCTCTGGAAGGAAGCAGGTCTACTCTATTTCATTGTGAGATGAGAGTATTTAAGAACCACTGGCAGACAGGCTGGAGAAGTTTCCCCTGCCTAACTTCGAGGAGAGGATGGGCCATGCAAGTGGCGGACGGGAGCGGATGCAGTTTTAAGTAGTGAAGTGAAGGTAGGCCTCACTGGAGAGATGACAGGAGTCGCCTTGCAGCTCTTCTCGGGGGAGGGCATTCCAGGCAGAGTACAGCCAGAGCCCCACGGCAGGGGTGTGCCCACGGCAGGCCGGTCTGGCCGGAGCAGTGCCAGAGGGAACGTGTGGAAGGTGAGATCGGAGACAAAGAGCGAAATGCATGTAAGGCAGATTGTACCGTGTCTCCTGGGCAGTGGCCAGCTTTGAAAGGTACTTGTACTTTACAGAAAGATGGGGAGGCACAAGGGGCTTTAAGCAGAGTGCATTTTGGGAAAGACCTTTGGCTGCAGTGTTGAGACCAGACTGCACGAGGGCAAGGATGAACCAAATGGAGGCTAATGTTGTAATCTAGCCTGGAGTCACAGCAACTTAGGGCAGGCGTCAGCAGTGCAGGGACTAAGATATGCTTTCTTGACATAGATCAGATGTGGGGTGTGAAACAAATTACACAAAGGAGCCAAGAATGATTCCAACGTTTTGGACCCGAGCCACCAGAAGCATGGAGTTGCCATCAACTGAGATGATCATAAAATGAAATTGCCAACTCATGCACAAATCTGTTTTCCCTTGTCTTAAAAAATGATGAACTTGCAAAAATAGCCACTGTGTCATTCCAGTTGTCATTCCAGTTTATACACAAGCTGGTTCTTATGTGCTCACATCATTCTCCTGCTGGTAATAATCCACCTCTTTCCTTCCCTCTCTGCCCGACACTAAAGGGCTAGTTCATGTTTTATATGCCCCAGAAAGTCCACCCCAAATCACATCCCCGGCAACACACTGCTGCTAGTGTCTTTAAGGTGCTACCTGTAATGATTTATTTTAATCAAATGCTCTTATTCATGGGACCACTGCTGAGTGTGTTCCCTGAAAAACTATTTTTCCTAAAATTCTTATATTCAACTCCCTTCTCTAATTTTTTTGTGAATTTTTTTTATTTTTAATAATTATTTGATTATTGTTCAATCCTTCTCTGGCTTTAGTGAGATGTCATTGACGTATGACATACGAACTTCAGGTGCACACCATCGTAATTCAGTGCTTGTGTGTACTGTGAAATGTCACTACAGTACGTGTAGTCAACATCCACCATCTCATGTAGTGACAGGTTCTTTTCTTGGGATGAGAACTTTTAAGAGCTACTCTCTTAGCAACTTTCAAATGTGCAATACAGTGTCATTAACTATAGTCACCATACCGGATGTTACAGCCCCAGGACACACTTATCTTATAACTGGAGGGTTGTAACCTTTGACCCACTATCGCCCAAGTCACCCCCTGCCCGCCCCCCACCTCTGGCCAACTACCAATCTGTTCTCTATACATTCTTCAACTTCTAATTCTTTTTACTCATCTTCTTTGTCAAGAATTCACTCAAGAACTACACCCCAACCTGAATGAGTGCTGTCGTGTTCCAGGCCTCTCCTGGGCTTTTGGACACTACCTTGTTCTCCCTGCCTGGGGTTCCCCTCCTCCAGTCACCCCTGGAAACTGCGTAGACTTCTCCTTATCTCAGAGTCTTCAGATGTTTCAAGACAGTTCACAATGAAAGGATTCTGAAAGCGCCATTGTTTGGATGCTCTGACTCAAGCTGTTCGCACTGTGTTGGGCTGGCTCCTGCACCTGGCTTTCATGTACAGACACTTCAAGAGCTGTTGGTAAACCCCTGGGCGAGCTGACTCTGTGCAAAGTGCTTGCATGACCTCAGAGGGCACAGCAGTCAAGTCCCAGGGAAGTTCTGAGTCCAGAAGGGCCAGCTCACCTCTTCCAGTGCTGGAAGTTCAAGAACTTTTGGGGGGAAAAATTGAGTGTCATTTCCACTTACTTAGGCCTGTTGTTGGTTTTTAGGCATTTTTATAAGAGGGAAAAAGTCATCACACTTCTAAAAGGGGGAGGGGAACCTTCATATCCCTTGGGTCTCATTGTTTCTCTTCTCTCTCCGTGTGAACTGGGTTTCTCATCCAATTAAGTGACTCCAGCTGCCACACCCCGCACCATACCTCTGGCCCCAGCTTCTCTCCCAGGCTCCACATTACTGACTGCACACACACGGGCTCACGCTGGGAATGTGTAGGCTCCTCAGACGCCAAATACTCAAAATAGAATTAATCGTCTCTCCTTCCCCGTTCTCTTCTGGCATTTCCTGCCTTGGTTCCCTGCACAGTGCTCACACCAAACGAAAACCTCGATGTCATCTTCAACTCTACTCTCTTCATAACAGTGACCCTGAATTTTCTCTTTAGTGTCTGTCCCTGCATTCTCCGCTCACAAAAGGACCGACGGTTATCGCTAACCTCCCTCACCCCAGTTGATCTCTGTGTTGCTGCCAGTGATCCCTCTAAATCTGACTTAGTTCCCTCCTTTAAAACTTTGAATGTGTTCCTAGTGCCTGCGGAATTGAGTCCAAAATCTCTGCGGAGCGCACAAGACCCTCCACGTTCTGATCCTTGGCCACGCCTCCAGCACTCCTTTATTGCCATCCTTTGCCCCAAGTCCCCAGAAACTCCGTGAATGAACTAACCACATCCCTCGAAAGTCCTCCTCAGTTTCCCAGTTCCGTGATTTTGCCCCGCTGCTCGCTCTCCATGTGCAGTCCCTCACCCTTATCTTCGCATTACTACTCATCTTATAAGACAAAAAATAGGTAAATTTATTCTCTCAAAAATAATTATAGCAATGGTCACTCTATGCCAAGTAGTATAGGAAGCTACCCTAAAATAGACACAGGTAATCCCTGCCCTCAAGGAGCATTAGAGTGGGAAAAGCAGACTGATACACAGTGGATTTTCTAGGTACCCCAACCGGATGACCAGCGCTGTGAGCTGCAGTCATCAGCGAGTGCAACCTTGCCCCACGCTCTCGGGCAGCGACGGCGACCTTCTTGTGTGTACCCCCCCAGGCAGAGTTGGCCACCCCCTCACCTGCGTTACCCTCAAGCAGATGTCATCATCCCTTTTCCATTTACTGGTTTTTGTATCCCTAGCACCTGGTACAGCCTAAGCACTTGGCACATGTCTCAGAACCAGGTGGCGCTCCTCGGGAATCCCGAGCTCAGAGGCGACCTGGGTCCACCCAGGCTCAGCCTAAATGGCAATGAGCACCAGGAAGCGCAGTAGTAGCACTCACTTCCTGGAGTCCTCACAGAGCTCCACAATAAACATCACTTCTCTGATAAACTTTCTAGAACATTTCTATCATGTCTTATCCCCTTGCAGAATCTTCTGTGGCTTCCTGTAGATGGTATCAGGAATACAAGTGGGAAACCAAGTTGCTGTTTCTCTGTTTCCAGCCTGATGGCGGGGAGAGAACATGGACCGAAATCCAGAAGAGTCCCAACTCTGCGCATCAATCAGATTCACTCAAATGAATGAGACTCTCTCCTGAAACACAAATGTTCCCTGGGAGAATGATGCCTAGTGGTCACTCACACTTAGAATACAGTATTTTAACCAAGTAAGTTGCAACATGTATTGACTAGGAAGTACTCTGTCACTGTGGCTTAAATATGCATATGACAAAGTAATCTGAGGGTTTTCCAGTTCTGAGGAATTGGAAACTTTACTTCAAGTGCCTTGCTAAAAGGGACACTTTTAGGACAAAGTGTACTTCAAAGGAAGACAGACTTGTTCTGGGTGCGGCTGAATCAGAGTACAGCCTGGCTGGGGGCATTAGGAGGACACTGAACAACTAGGGTCATGTCCACTGGGGTCACAAGCATGCAGAAATGCAGGCAGGAGCAGACCAAAGAAAATTATTTTTCTTTTTTTCTTTCCTTTTACTTAATTTTTGTTTAGGATTCTGATGATATGCTGTCCTTACAAGCCATCTGCTAATCATTTGAGGTTGTCACAGCTTGGATAATACAGTCACATTCAAAACCAAAAAGGCCTGCATCTTCCCTGCTTGGTCCACACCCTCATCTTAGGTCAAAAGTTACTCTTCTAACTTACCATACCTTCTTGCTTCTACTTTTGCATTACGAGGGGGAACCCCAGAACAAACCAGAATTTATGTATAAGACATTGTGCATTTATTCTTGCATGTTTAAACTTCAGTCACCTTTAAAGTATTCTCTATTTGATGCAGTACACTTATAGAGATGCTTTTTCCACTGCTCAAAACAGTTTTTGAACCCTTTAATGCCGATGCCTTTTAGTGCTTCCGCTATTTTTTGTTTCATCTCTTTCCCTTTGAGGGCTTTTTTCACCTGGGGAAACAAACAAAAAAAGTTGCTCAGGGTAAGATTGGGTGAATATGAAAGTCAAACCTTTTTTTTTTTTTTGGTCAAACCTGCTGAACACTCAGCATGGTGTGGGCAGGTATGCTTGTAAATCACCTATCATGAAATGGGCAAACACACTGAAAGAGTCTTCAAAAAAAATTCCCTAAAGCCAAACACAACCTCTCACAACAACGCCAGCTGGTCCACTGATACAGATGGGTTCTTAGAGCACTCACCTGGTGGGGGAAGACTATACACTACAAGGGGTCTGCCCTCCGGAAGATAATTCTGGTTTTGGGGGGGAGTGCCACCTTGTACTCTGCTCACTAGGAGCTAGAATGTCACCTCTCTAAAACTTACCCACCCCTCACCCATTTATCCAGTCAACAATTGCTCAGTAAAAACCCACGTTTACAGGACCAAGCCAGGATGGGGCATAAGCACCAGTGGGTACCAAAATGGCCTTGACACCGACCTTGTTCTTGTCCCGGTGCCTCTTCCTCCAGTAAGCCTTCATTAATAGTCTGACCAACACTTGCTGGAAAAAGAAGCAAACCAACCACCTGACATGAGATATGACCGTGTCTCAGGATATTGGAAATCAGTCTGCTCTGGAAAATGCAGTCCAGCATCCCCACTTTGAAGCCATACTGTCCTACTGCTTCAAGAGGAAGGAACTAAAGAGTGTTTTCCTTAGTCTGGGGGTGTTAACATACAACTGGACCTGAGGTGGCAGAGGAACGGGGCGGAGAGTGAGAAAGTTACCAGGACAGAAAGGGTAAAACTCAACAGCTCTACCGGAGCAGTAATTCCTCCTCACACCAGGGGGTTCTCACCCAGGAGCTCGAGCTGCACACTCTTGGTGACCACTTTGAGTTTACAGAGACTCTACTACAAGACTTCAAAACTAAAGTGATATAAATAACTCTGGACAGGGTTCAGAGAAGAACCACTGTGAGAACAACTATGACTAAAGTGTGGGCAAAGGCATCTATTAATAGACAGAGAAACTGAAATCACTTAGCTTACAGGAGGGAAAGTGTCGGACCTAACAGTGATCTTTACGGCGTAGGTCACGGAAGAGCAATGGAGCAGTGGGAAAAAGGACACAGTCTTTGAGCCACTCCATTTTAGAATCTCTATTTTTAAAAAGAGGGGGTAGAATCACTCATTTTTAAAAATTTAAAGTGAAGAGAAATGAAAGGTTTCTAAACTCTGTCCATAGTGGCTTATGCAAAAAGCAGGAAGGAGCCTCTCCGTATTGAGAATTGCAAGGACTTTAAAGTTTACACATAACATGTACTTACCACCACTGGACACCTAAAAATGGCCAAAATGGCAAATTTGTTGTAATTTATATTTTAAACACACATACACAAATCCATGAAATAATGCTAGAACATGCTTCTAATTGCTAAATAATGTCACTTTTAGGAAAATTCCTATTTCACAGCACCGCAAAGAACTCGCCTGTTTTTCTAACACTTCGGTAACACCCTTGAAGGAAAGGGCTCTTAAAAGGGGAAAGGGAAACTGTTCAAAGATTGACTTTGGACTTGAAACCAGACACAAAGTGACAGGATGTAGTGGCTGACCATTGTCATCTGGCCTCTACCTAGAGTTCCTATCAAGGCTGGGGAGCGGTACGCCAGGGGAATCGGTTGGGAGGGACAGTGTTTCTCACGTTGGGCAAACATGTCCCTGAGCATAGGAATTCATATTCTAATTTCCCCTTCCAGATCCTCTTCCCTGTCTTAACTTCTGGAGTCAGACCTGCTTCCTGCTTCACGCTGGAGACAATCCGCGGGCGACTCATCTGCAAACTCAAACTACGGGGCGCCCTACGCTTTCCTTCCGCCGGCTTGAGGAGTGGAAGAAATACTGGCTTTTCTTGCCTTGCTTGAAAACAGAGGTCTTGACTAGTTTCAATCAGCTGGAAAATAATGTTTTATTAAAACAACTCACGATGACTTGTAAAAAACAGGAAAGGGTTCCCTCAAAAGAAAATTCAGCAAAAAAAAAAAAAAAACCTTTAAGAAATTAAAAAAGCTTAACACCTACAGTGTCTCCCACTTCCTTTCTGGAGTTATTTCCATGGGAATCGCTTGTGTATTGGCTGTAAGTAAAGGCTCGTGTTTTCTTTGGCTTCTGCTCTGGGCGTGACTGGGTGGGCCAATGGGTGATGGACAGTTCCCGGGAGCAGCCCAGGTGCTGTGTTCAACAGCAGAAGTCTCGGAGCCCAGTGAGTTTCGGAGAGTACTTCCAGGGCCAGCTGGTCACCTCAATGTGTGAGGCGAGACCCATCTCGCCCTCCCGTCCGCCATTACAGCAGACGCCCTGCAATGGATTTTTTTTTAAAGGACATTTTCCTTTTGGAGAAATAAGGTCAACCCACCCTTGCGGCAATTTTACATCTGATGAAGAGAAATCTTATTTCAGTAAGAGGCATAGACTTGTGAAATTATGGTAAGAGCCGAGAGGAGAAAAGTTGTTTCCTTCAAGTCACTTTATCTAAAGACCAGAAGCCAGCTCCACACTCAGATTTAAAGCATCTGAAATTTGGGTTCAGGAAAGGTATTCCTGAATTAGGAATTCGACTTGAAACAGCAGAAGCAGCCTCCTCCGAACTCCGCTCCCATGCATTCTACCCAGAAATCCGTCCCCCGGGGGGTGGGGCGGGGGGAGGGGAGGGGAGGCAGGAATGAAAGGGACTGAGGATGAGCTAAACATCGGCCTCGTCCACTCCCGGAGAGAAAGGTCTGGATTTGGTCTCTCGTCTATGCGATGAAAAAGAACCCCTCCCAGAAACTAAGAGGACCTTGAACAATGCTACCTAGAGGTCCAGTTCCAGCCTCCTTTTGCAACTTAATACATGCTAAAAAAAAAAAAAAAACTTAGTAACTTCTGTGGCAGCTTTTAAAAAGTGATATGAATATACACACATTTTTGTTTTTAGAAAAAGAAGATTCTTTGGATCATGCCTCCCACTTAAAAAGCGTAGAACCCATTCAGCTTTAAAAAGGAAGGACATTCTCACACATGCTACTAGATGAATGTTATACTCAATTAAATAAGATAGTCACAAAAGGACACTTACGTGAGGTACCCAGCACGGTCCCCTCATGGACACAGAGAGGAGAGCGGGTGGTTGCCAGGGGCTTGGGGAGGGGCAGGCGGGAGCTGGGGTTTGGTGGACACGGAGTCTGTCTAAAGTCCTGGAAATGGAAGGCAGTGATGGCCACACAACAACTGAATGCACTTAACGCTATCTGTGTCACCTTTCAGTGACAAATGGTCAAAACGGTAAACTTGATGGTATGTGTATTTCACCACAATTTAAAACATGTTTCCTTTAAAGTGTAGGCCTTCGCCCCGTGGCAGTTCTCCACGCTGGCTCTGTTCTAGACGTTTTCACATGGTGTCATCTACGTCTGGTTCCCAAAACACAGGGTAAGACATAAACTTGGCTTAGCTCGTAGTAAATATCTTCTGAATCTCAACTGGGAGCTCGACAGTGACTTTCTGGAGCGCACCTGCAGTTTGCAAACTGCCTGCTGTGGGTAGAAGTGCACAGTGTCTTCTGACAATTAGCCCTGAGCAAGAATTGATTAAACGCTTGATAAAGTAACAGCTTGGGGGATAGTACTTTCCCCCGGCTTTCCCACCCTCTTTCCCTCCCCCACGAACACCACATAAAAAGTGACAGTTTGTAATTTCTTCTTTTGTAAGCATTAGCATCAGCGTTGGATGGGAGCTTCATTCCTCTTCCAAATGCAAACAGGCCACATTCCACCCTGGGAACACGCTCCTCATCGCATTCCAGCCCAGGCAGTAGCCTGTAACAGAACTGGCGTCTTCTCCAGCCACAAAATCGGGGGGCTAAGGTGCAAAGGGACTTTTCCGGCATCTAGTCCCCTAACAAGGTGGCTTCTCTGAGGGAGAGGTGTGGGGGAGCACCTAGGAAATAAAGCCGGCTGGTCCCCAAGTTCCTCTTTCTATTTCTGTCATTTTCACTTCCTCTCCCATCAGAAATCCCCGTGTGGCGGCGGAGCTTTCTTCTCTCCCTTCCCTGTCATTTCCGTTTCATTTCTCCCCTGACACTTCCTCTGGGCTCGTCCCCATCTTCCTGCTCCTGATCCTTGCTCTGTCTTCACATCTTCAGTTCCGTTTCCCCCAAGGTGTTGGCAGGCTGCTTCCATCACCAAACTCAACTCTGTACTTTCAAGAGTTGCAAGAGTACCCTTCCTATGTGCAATCCTGGTCAGCTGTCCCCTGGCACCCCTGCGGACACCAGGTAGGGGGGTCAGGTCTGCCTCTGCCTGCTTTCCTTTGGTAGCTGCCACCAGACCCCTGGGGGACAGTAGTCTTCTTGGTGCTCTGTGGCTAGTCCAAGAGCAATTGCATAGGAAAGGTTTTGGGAAAAATAGAAATAAAATTGAGTTTTGCTGCATAAGCTGCCTCTGAAGCCTACAATCTCATCAGGCTCCTTGTTACCTGTCAAAAACCCCAACCCCGGACACGCTATTAAACCCCATCTCAGCTGGCTACGGAAGTGACTGCCACTCGGCCGGGAGAAGCCTTTCCGTGTCTCCTCACTGCTGGGAGAGGGCTGGCCAGGCCACCCCTCCCTCATTCATATCCCGCTGTTCCGGAATGTATACAACTGCCTGGACATGCCGAACGGAAGTACATTTCTGCAGTTGACACAAAAAAAGTTTGTCCTTTGTAGTGGTTATAAATCTCAGCCCCCAAGCTCATTTTTGCAAGAAACAGAATTTTATTTTCTACGTCAATGTATTTTCCATTTCGAGCCCCCATCCTGTAGGATGGGAGGTGTGACCGCAGCCCTCCCTGAGGCTCTCCCCTCCCGGTGTCCTAAGATCCTGCCAAAGCTCTGAGGTCTCACACTGTCCCAAGGACGTGGGCGTCTGCTCCTCTGTTCATGGAAGTCACCTGCTGCAAAGGTGCCTACTCAGGTCTGGCACTTCCTGGCCGCTTCAGGGCCATGTTTGGGACAGGGGAGTCCTTGCCCAACTGCACACTTCATAGTCATTTCTTTCTGGGGTCTTGCTTTTCCCTTAGCCCTACAGCTAAGAAGCAGTGGGCAGGCCCCCTCAACTCTCAGGGGCCCTAACTTTCCCTCTATTTCCTCTTCCTCCCAGCAGAGAGGAATTTCTTTTGAATAGAAGGGAAATCTTCCATTCATGTTTGTGGCTGAGACATTTCAACTACGCCCACTGTGTGATCCTCCCTGCATCTCTCTGCCTTCACATCCACGGTTGACCTGTAACCAGGATCTGACTTCCCTTTCTAAGTCTCAGGCTGTTGGGGCAGGTGGGGGCGGGGGAGGGGGGACAGGGGGGAGGGGAGAGGAAGCTGGGATTTCCACTCTCTGGACTGCGACCCCAACAGCGAGCACAGGGCACACCTGGAGAGGAAGATGCAGAGGACCCAGCCGCAACGGCAGGCCGCAGTCTCAGCAGCGGTGCCTCACAAACAATGGACGTGAGGGTTAGAAATGCTTTTTAGATATCTAACGGATGAAAGGAAACCCTTCCCTCTCCAAAGCAGTTGGCAAATCTCTATAAAGTTTGAAATGAGTTCAAGAGTTATTCAGACTCTCTTCTCCGGAGAAAACTAGCAAGGCCGTTCCGAGTTTATAGATAATATCCCTTCCATACTTTAGGACCACCGACCAGGCCCCTATCTGTGGCTTGCTTACTAACTTCTATAACTAAGAAAGTGAAGCAAAGTAATTACAAACATCTAAAAAACCCTATTTTTAAAATTTTATTTCTAGATCACCATTTCTGTACAGCACTGTGTTGTGCTGGTTTCAGATACGCAGCATGGTGGCCGGGAAACTGTGTGGCGTCTGTCTTTCTGTGACCGACTTATCTCACCCAGCATAATACCCTCCAGGCCCGTCCGTGCTGTCACCGATGGTGAGATTTAATTCTTTTTCTTTAAAAAAAAGATTTTATTTATTTATTTTTAGAGAGGGAAGGGAGAGAGAAAGAGAGAGAGAGAGAGAAACATCAATGTGCAGTTGCTGGGGGTCATGGCCTGCAACCCAGGCATGTACCCTGACTGGGAATCGAACCTGCGACACTTTGGTTCGTAGCCCGAGTTCAATCCACTGAGCTACTCCAGCCAGGGCCAGATTTAATTCTTTTTATGGCTCAGTAATGTTCCATCATATATATGCCCCCCAGATTTTTATGATTTTTAAATTTAATTTCTCTTAATTTTTAAATTACTGTTTATATTTAATATTATTTTGGATTATTTTCAGGTTTCCAACATAGTGGTTAGGCTATAATATACAAAGTATTCCTCCGATATTTCCAATTCCCATACATAATCATTAAAATATTATTGACTATATTCCCTGTGCTGTACTTTACAGCCCCCTGACTACTTTATAACTGCCAGTTTTGTACAACTTTTTTTCCAGTCATCTATGAATGGGCACATGGGTTCCCTCCATATCTTGACTATTGTAAATAATGCTGCAATGAACACATCTTTTCCAATTAGTGTTTTGGGTTCCTTTAGACATACACCTGGAAGTGGTATCGCTAGGTAATACTGCAGTTCCATTTTTAATGTTCCGAGGAGCCTCCATGCTGTAGAAAACCTGTTTTTACTCAGTGTGCCTCTAAGAGAGCCGCTGCACTTCCAGCCTACCTATCATTCCAAACGCAAAGGCACTCGAGCAGACTTCTCCCGACGGCAGAGGGCTGGGCTGTGGCAGCTGCCCACAGTTCGTTTGCTGATTCACTCCCTTTCTCCACAAGGTGCGACTTCAGGAGCACTTCGTTTGGTGTTAAAGGCATTAGTGAACACTCCTACACGAACTTACATTTTACAGAATGATCTCTATCTGTTATCTTTGTGGATCCTATAATCACTATAAGTAGTTGTGGTTTTTGCTAGTAGCTGCAGCTGACAATGGTCTGCAGGTAAGGGCTGCGCCAAGGGCTTCCT